AAATAATTTTGAAATTTTCCTTTGGTTATACTCTGGAATAATTTAAGTAGTATTGGAATTATTTGATCTTTAAAGATTTAGTAGAATTCTCTGTGAAATTACCCAAGTCTAGTGCTTTCTGCCTTCCTCTCATTTAAAAAAATGTTTTTGAAGTATAGTGTACAGGCTGAAATCTTCATGAATCATGGCTATATAACTAAATGAATTTTATTAAATAACTTTGTTTAATCAGCATTTAGGTCAAGAAACAGATATCCCATAAGCCTCCCTCATGTCTCCTTCCACTTGCCAGCTTCCCACTCCAACATCAGCCCGGAGCCATCTTATCATGGTGCTCACTAGGCTCTGTGGTTTGTTTGTTTTCCTACAGTAACTGATTTGCTTAGATTGTTTTTGTCTCCACTGGAGTCAGTTTTGATAAACAGCATTTTTCTGGACAACTATCTATTTCATCTAGGCTTTCAAACTGATATACATAGAATTATCCAAATTGCTCTCTTATGATTTGAGAGTTTTTTCCTATTATCTTCCCTAATCCTTAAAAACTACAAGCACTAGATAGATCTTTCTAGATGCTCCATCAAGGTCTGTGCAACAGAAAATTGCAAATCCTCCTCTCTTTGTGATAGTGTTATTAAGCATACATTTTTCTGTCTGTCTAGCTAGTTATCTAGGCATCTAACTATCTTGCTCTCTAGGTATCTATGTGTATTTCACGTGGTTGAGAAAATGGAAGGGCAGCTACAAAGCATTTGCATTCCTGATAAAAGAGAGAGTTGACTAGGCTTTCTCTCCCTCTCCTCTCTGCCTTGGGCTAAGATGTGATACCATGTCTTGCAACCAGGAGAGAGACGCCAGGAGAATTGTGGCGGCACCGGCCCTGCCATTGATGAGCTGCTTAAGTAACAGGAGGAACCACTTTCAGAATTCTTCAGGACTCCTGTGAAGTGAGTTACAGGCCTCTCTTTCTCTGTGGCACTCCAAGTCAAAGGCTGTAACGCGTTCCTGACTGATAGAATAAATTAGACAAAACCAGCAAACTTTAGATGCTCATAGTATATGCGTGTTTAAACATACCAAAATTATCACAGAGACGCCAAATCCCTTAACTCTAAAATAGGAACCTGGGTAGCAATTACTCCAATCAAGTGCTTACTGCAATGGCCTTTTTAGCATAGGCATTGTTAAAAAGCATAATTTGCATAAATTATTCACCATGTCTCAGATACCACTTTTTGAAATTTTGTACAATGGGGTACAGATTGCGTACATCTTGTATAGATGACAGGACACATCCTCAAAGGGTTTCAAAGAGATTAAATGAGATAATTCACAAAAAGGGCCTCGGACAGCACCTATCACATGTTAAAGTACTCCATAAATATTATTTATAATCTTTGAATAATCAGGATTAATAAAACCCATTGATGTGAGCTACTCCTATGGATGGCAAGTGCCTTCTCAACTTTTGCATTCCCATGAGAAAATCACCTCCCCCGAGAGGCCCTCTCTGGCTGTTCTATCTAAAGTGGAATCCCTCCCCAAATACCTCCCATTCCTTATTGCCCCGTTCTTTTTATTAGCTCAGAGACCTTGTTGCCATCTGTAATTCTTTTGATTATTTATTTGGTAAATGTGTGTCTCCCCTGATAGAATGTAAACCCCATGAGAGCAAAACTCTCAATGGCTGGCAGGGATTCTGTACTCTGTATGCTTGTATTGCATAAAGATGACCAGTAATATCCGAGGAACAATTATAATAGAAGGCCATTTGACGTAGAAGGGTTTTGCAGAGGTGGTCATTTTTTTGGATATGATTTTGCCCACATTTAAGTAAAAATGACAGTGGATAAAGATTCTGCTCAATTCTAGATACTCCCCATATACTGGCCTTATTGGAGAGCTTGCTGGTTTATTATATTTATTTATTCTCTAAAAGGTCACTAAATAGTTTTATATGGTCTATACACCTTTAGAAAGGGTGGCACAAATTGTTACCTTTATTTTTTAAAATTTTTTAAAGGTTTTATTTATTTATTCATGAGAGACACACAGAGAGAGGCAGAGACACAGGCAGAGGGAGAAGCAGGCTCCACGCAGGGAGCCTGACAGGGGACTCGATCCCAGGACTCCAGGATCACACCCTGGGCCGAAGGTGGTGCTAAATCGCTGAGCCACCCCGCTGCCCACAAATTGTTACCTTTAGAAAAATGTTGTTTTGCATTCATATAGAGATGTAAAATTCAGCTGAAATTTTAAAAACTAATGGATACTTGTAATCAAAGATTTAGATGAAATTCCTCATAATTTTTTGGTCTTCTGAAGGTCCTAGAATTTAGATTTTTATTTTTTTTTTATTTTTTTTTAAAGATTTTTTTTTAATTTTTTTAAATTTATTAATGATAGTCACAGAGAGAGAGAGAGAGGCAGAGACATAGGCAGAGGGAGAAGCAGGCTCCATGCACCAGGAGCCCAACGTGGGATTCGATCCCGGGTCTCCAGGATCGCGCCCTGGGCCAAAGGCAGGCGCCAAACCGCTGCGCCACCCAGGGATCCCGAATTTAGATTTTTAAAGTAGGCCTATAAAAGGAATGTTTGGGACCAGGTCCGATGGAAAATAGAAATGGAAATGTTTTAAGTAGAAGGAATAAATCCATAGGAACAGAAGGAACCCTCAAACACATTTGAGTGACTAGGGGTGGCCCCATGGCAAACGTCTGAACTGGTGGGGAGGCATGAGTATGGCCAATGCCACTGTCAGAGGGAAGAGGACCCCCTCCCAGCTCAGCCACTGACCCCACCCACCCCATCATCACCACTGGCTTTAGAACCCAGAAGAGTCCTGCAGGATTTCCTCTCCTGACAACTGGCATCCTGGACCCAACGACAGGAGGCCATTTTCTCTTTTTTTTGGTACCTTCCAGAAGGACAGTATGGTATGGTACTCAAGCAGTGGGCTTTGGCTACCAGAGTTTGAAGCCCAGATTCCTGGTTAACCAGCCATGTCTTTTGTAGCAAATGATTTTGACCTCTCTAGGCCTTGGTTGACTCATTTGTAAAATGGTGGTGATGGCCAAAACTGTCTCATTGGGCAGTGGTCGGCACATAGTAGGGGCTGGATAATTGTGACTTATGTGACCCTCCTTCTAGAGGTTATTGTGAAGTCTGCCAGTTCCAGGGGGTGGCCAGGGGGTGGGGTTCTGGGGTATCATTTTCTGGGTGTAATTGCTTTATGGCCTGAGAATTTGTTTCTTAATTTTGATGGATCTGTGGCTAGTGCTGTGGTCATTTCCTGTGGATTCTTCAGAGAAGGTTCCAGAATATGTAGGGAAGCATACAGGCAGCCATCTTAGAAGAGCTGGCCATCTTGGTGGGCTGACCTTGATAGCTGATACCCAGATTTTAGTTAGCTGTTTATTTGGAGTACTTTGGAGGATTATGGGGATTGGTGGGCTGGTCTTGTGGCTTTATTTGCATAATAAGCACTTAAGTGGATTGATGTTAATTTGGGGGATTGTATGTTAATTTGAGGGTACTTTTGAGGGTTGTTTTGCAACAAAATCTACAGAGTATGCACACAATTTTTGTGTGGACTGAGACTGAATATCGTGTAGGAAGCTTTCAATGGGTTCATGGAGGTGAGTATTTGCTACTTTTTCTGCCCTCCTTGGGGCTTATTTTGCTCACCTCTGGTGAGCTATGCTAGAGGATTAATTTGGCTAGGATTAATTTTATCTGGAAAATAGAACCAGAAGTGGATTTTTGGGCTGAATTACAGAATCAACTTAAAGTTTCATTTGGCCACTTTCAGAGGGTGCAGTGGTTGATGCTGAAGAGGAGCTGGTCTCACTCTCCCACTTCCCCAGGAAGCCACACCAGGGGTGACCACAAGCTTAAGGTGTGACCCTGGGGATGAAGATTAGGGAGCCCAAGTGGACCTCAGGTCCAAGCCACCCACAGTTCATTACAGCTTTACTGAGTTTCATGTGGGGCCTGTGAATGCTGACGATCCCCACCACCCGAGTTTATAGTGTATATTTCATTATAAGACTCCCCATTTTTCCCTTTATTTGTAATTTTTTAAAGTAAACTAGGTTTATGAACTTTGCATTTTTATGATGGCTTATTAGGGAAAATCAACCCTGTTACAGATTTTTACCCAGTCTCCACCCATTCATATTTTGTTTTATATAATCTTAACTTCCTATAGCCCACCCCACCCCCATGGCTTGTGGCTATTAGGTCATATAGAAGGGGCCTCCTATAAACCAATATTCTGATTGTAAATATACCCATTTTAAGGTACATTAAAAAAATTAAACATGTGATTGATCAACCTAAAATTCCTTTGTGTATGGAGTGAGGTAGGGATCCAGTTTAAGTCTGTCCCCAAATATTTATCCATTGGTTTAAAAACCATTTCTTTCTGATAGCTTGTTCATTTTTTTCTGCCAGGTTTGAGGGTAATTGACAAAATTCTGAGATACTTATTAGAAGTGTACAATGTGAGGATTTGATAAAGGTCTACATTATGCACAATTTGAGTAAGCCCACTTCCCCTTTTGAAACTGCATTCCTGAATTTCCCCCGTATACGTGAGCCCTTACCCTCAAGTTGGACAGAGCCCCAAACTGAAAACCTATTTTGGGGAGACTCTAGGCACACTGTGATGCTATATATCAGGGAAGCTGGTGGAATGGGTAGGGTGGCAACCATCAATGCAGAATTCTTAGACATGGGCCAATGGTTTTCTATGGGGCATGGGCAAAGGACAGGGGTGGACCTTTATGAGTTATCTGCAAATTGTTTTCAGATACCCAAATCAGGTCAACAAAAAAACAGAGTGTCAAGATTTTACCCCATTTTATAAACCTTGGGGACTTTTCCACGTGGGGCTTCCCATCTCCTACAGCCATCAAAACCGTTAACAGGTATTTGCTCAAAACTGCAAATAATTCACAGGACTCACATCTTTTGCTCACATTTAATTTTTATTTTGATTTTTTTAATGCTGCACAAGACAATATTTATTTCATTTATTTCTTTTATTTCTTTTATTTCATTTATTTCTTTTATTTCATTATCTCTGTTTGCTGCTGTTATTTTAATTACTGAAAGAGAGAGGGAACTTTTGTGGCCTTTTTCCTTTTCTTTTTCTCTGTAGGCCACCTTAAGCCTTCTAAATTTGGAATATTTAAGCAAGCGGAAGGGAAGAAAAGGGGGTTTCGCAAAATCACTTGGGGAGAAAAGGAAAGGTTGCGTTGTTAATCATGCCCTATGGTGGGTGATCAACTGCGTGTACAATTACGTTTCACTCTTAATTAATTGTGCTTAAGGCTTTAATTAAATTTGGGTGTTCCCTTCTTAGAGCAGCTCATACTGACGAAGGTGCATGCACTGAATGATGTCATGGCAGTCGTTGAACACACGGCGAATGTTCTCGGTGTCCACAGCGCAAGTGAAGTGGGGGTAGCAGTAGTGGTGCCCATCTCCACTAGCAGTGCTGATTCTCTGTGGCACAAACACAAGAACATGGAGTCAGTGCCACCACTCTACGATCATCAACTGGGGATCTGCTGAGGACTAGCTGACCAGCTACTGATGTTATGTTAAAGCTAAAATTCTCAGTGGCTATCAGTGACATAAAATGGAAGAATTCAAGAGTTTAATCCCCAAATGTTCAAGTAAATTTGCACTTCTGAGAAAAAGAACCAGTAAAGAGAGATCTAAAGATGGGCTCTACTCACCAGAAATTCGTCGCGGATGAAGTACTTGGCCCGGGTCACGCGTGGGTCCTCTCCGGGCTCGGGAGTAGCTGTGAAGAACAGAAATATTTTGGTAAGGTAATTAAAAGGTTAGGAGCAGAGCTTGAATGATGGCATCCTTGTAGCCCCTTATCTCCTGGGATTTTTCCATATGCAAATTAGCAGAAATAAATTTTTCTTGCTTCCCCACAGACCCCCTTATACTTTGGTGGTGCAAGTGAAGGGAGACTTCCATTCTTAGAGGTGGTTCATTTAGGTGATTCTTCAACTCTACCTACATGAAAAACCTCCAGAAATGGAAACTTTTAGCACTTTCATGAATGTATAGGACCGATGAACTTAGACATGTCCCAGTGCAATGGCAGAAGGCCATACGTACCATCCTCAGGAGTAGTGTAGCGAGCAAATTCTGGAAAGTAGTCCTCAATCTTCGATTTTCCAGCAAGGACTTTCTCAGCGAGCAGGTCTTGCTTGTTGAGGAACAGAATCACAGAGATGGTGCGCAGCCATCTAACAAAGAGGGATGCAGGTTTAATGTCCAGGAAAAGAAATCATTCTTTCTGCGAGGGGTTTGACATTCTTACATGAATCTTTTTATAATAGTGCAAATACAGGGCCTTGAGATCACAGTAACAGGACCCCTGGGTGGGAGGGTGGGAGAAGCCGGGGAAGATGCTCCAGAAACCTGTTGTTCCAGATGCTCTTGAAAAGGTTCAGAGCCTCCTGCAGGCGGTTGGTCTGGTTGTCCTCCCGAATGACCATGTTGTAGCTGCTGCTGGCCACCATGAAGATGATGGCAGTTACATCTTCAGCACAAGAAAGCAAAAGCAATGCACGTTAGAGGTGAAAATGACCTTTAATGATCAAAAGAGCAAAACGTGCTTATAGAGCCGAGAAATCCATGGCTTCCATACCATTGAAGCATTGGATCCATTTGCGGCGTTCATCGCGCTGGCCACCCACGTCAAACATGCTGCGGAAGACAAGAGGACACCGGGTCGCTGCAAAGGGCTAACACCACTCCACCACTCTGCTGGTGGGAACGTAAGGGAACAATTCTGTTTCAAAATGGGAGTCATTCACTTACTGGAAGTTGACTTTGTCCACCTGGAACTTGGTCTCAAAGATTCCAGAAATCAGGACGCGGCAGCGAAGCAGATCCTAAAACAAAACCCAGGTTAACAGATCTCCCCAAAACCAACTGCAATATTAGTAATTGCCAATTGGAAAGCAAAATCTTGACTAGCTTGGAATGAGGGCTCCGAGTCCCCCGACCAAGAACTTCTGCATACCTGATCACTGGGCACGTAGTCAGCCTGCTTGATGACATCAATCTTGTCCAGGAAGCTGGGAGGCAAGGAGAGACACACCGCGGTTTTCAAGGAGCTCATAAGCTCATGGTGATTGGCCCCCAATTCCTGCCTCGCTACAAAGCTGAGCTCAATGGAAATGATGGTGTCATCGTTACGTGGCGTTAAGTCAATGGGAGTTTTGCCTGCGTTGGGTATGTTTATGACTCAAAGCTTATGCCTCAGAAAGGTTAGCTCAAGCAGCATTAAAGATAAATGCATTCGGCTGATGAGGAGATCTAGGAACCAGGAAGTAGGATGGACTCTTGGAACCCCTGGCCTACAGGTACAGCACAGGACAAAAGGTGGGGTTCTGGTTCTGTGCAACCAGCGGAGGCCCCCAAGCCAGGCCTATCTGATCTTGTGCCATTTGAAAATGATTGGCTAAAGATTTAAAATTTCTCGGGTTGTTTGGCTTGGACTAAAATGACAAGTAATCTGAAAACTGTATACTTATGCTCCATACCATTTTTTTTTAAAGTAAAATGGCACACTTAAAAGCAGCAAGGATTTTCCCCTCAAGGGACTCATGAAAATGAGATTGTTTGAATTACTCAGAATGGGTATCCCTTCCTCCTACTTTTTAAGAATCTCACTTATTAAAAGAGAACAAAAGAGGTTGACACAAGAGGCCCTTTCTGGCCTAACCACACCGAACAGGAAACGAACACAAAGTTCCCTTCCGTTCAATTTGGTCCATGAAATAGAACACTCCAGAGAGGAGACTTTTAGTTATTAAAAAAAAATCCCACAGCCCTCCAAGGTTATGGATCCTTCTCTGGCTCAGATCCTGCACAAAAGAGGGGCTTGGGGCTTGAGAGTGGATCTTCCACTGGAGGGGAAGTTATGTGGAAGAGGGGGCCCCGGCCATAACCTTCCCAGAGCAAAGAGGACCCTGCTGGTGTTGCTGGACTAGACACACCATTAGGAAAAATAACTTTGGAAAGATTGGGGGGGGTCATTTAACTAATATGCAAAGTTCATGTTAAAACTAGGGGGGAGTTTTGGGGGCACGCCGAGGGGAGGAGGGAGGGAGTATGGAACTGTTTGAAAACTGAAAAAAAAAATCACAAAGGGAGAAGAAGTCTACTGAACGACATTCTGCAAGTTTTTTCTCCCCTTCTTTTTTACCAGTTTAGAGTTAGTCTGGCTTAGAGGATACACTAACTTGCCCAATCAGTCCCACATTACAGCACCGGTCCAGAAATAGCTCCCCAGCCGCCCTGGCCTCCAGCATGTTGCCATGGCAACAGAACCACAGTTCTATAAATAGATCATCAGCACCAAATCTTGTGAGAGAGACATCTGGAGCCCCGCCAGCCAAACCCCAGCTCAACAAATAAAAATAGGCAGCTTAAGAAATGGGCAAGAGACCAGGATGGCAACTTTAACGTAAAGGCAGTTAAACCAGACACACGCTGGTCAGCGTGAATGCGGGGCTGTTCCAATCATCCCGCCAGGGAAGACATTTTAAAAGTTTGAAGCTGGGTTTTTTTTTTCCCCTCCAAGTTTCCTTAAAACTTTCCATAAACTGTGCAAACGTTGCCATTTTCAGATAAAATGGTGCTTTAAGAGAAAACTTTTAAATGGTGGGAAATAAAAATAATAATAATAATTTAAAAAATCCCAGAAACCTGGCTAAAATTCCGGTCAATGAACTTGTTACACCCTCCCCTGCCCCCTTCCAGGGCACTCAAAGCCTCGAGGGTTAAACCCTCCTAATCTTGTACCTGTGCTTCTGACTTGGATCCAAAATACAAAACGCAAACAATTCCAGGATTTCCATTTGTTTTGAGTTACTATAATTAGCACTTCCAGCTTTTAGTTCAAACTTTTGAGAAAATCAGGGACTTTGTTAAAGAAGTGGTAGGGGGTTGGGGTCACAGGGACTGGCCAAGATGGACTGTTTTTGTGTTCCTTGAGAAAACACACAGATTGGCATGTCTAGTCCACTGCGACACAGCTCTGTCTGTGACAACTGGAAACAATCCACTGGGCACTTACTATGGGAAGGCGGGGCCAGGGAGGGAGGAATTGATAGGTTTCACAGACCCTACGAGAAGCTTCTGTGATTTGTAGATAACAGGATTCTAGGGGACTTGCTGTTTGTTTGCTGTTACCTGTTCCTACCTCCTATTTATTCAACTGGTGATAGAGTCACAATAAATCCCTCAGGTTTGGGGCTCCTAAGTAATGCACTTGTTGCTGTTGCTGAGCCAACTGGGAACCTTGCTCCTGACTCCTTATTTTCTATAGCAAAGTCGTTTCTGAGTTTCAGCTACCTACATCACCATTTGTCACCTCCCTCCCCGCACCAAGTCATAAGACACCCCAACTTCAGAATATTTTCACCGAGACCACGTAGCGTGTTTGCGCTACCTTCAAAAACCCCTTTATGGCTCTGACCGTCATGTATTTACTGTGTCGGGTACAGGATCGGGGAGGCTGTAGGCTATTTAAAAGGCAACATTCCAGGTAGGTACGGTGCTGTCCATTGGAAGAGAGCTCAGGAGGGGACAGGGCAAGGACCCCACAGGGGGAAGCATCCTTGAATTAAAGCCCCGTGTGAATGAACAAATGAATGAATGAATAATATGGGTAGGCAATGGAATTCAACACAAAACCTCAGTCCACATGAACAGCACCCAGTAACGCTGGACACGTCCTGCAGTCCCTTACCTGATCGCAGAAATAGCAAGGCCATCATCAGCCACCAAGGAGGGGGCAGGGAATGGTTCTGTCGTCATCATTTGTTAGGTTTTTAAATTATAGCAATAAAATATAGTATTTTTACATTATTCAAAGCCCGAGAGCTGCCCAGTCTTCCTTCCAAAAGCTTGGAGGTCAATCCAATGAATTACTTCAAGCTAATTAATTACGAACATCACTTTACTGCAAGTAATTATCATTTTGCTCTCACAGGCATTAATTGTTTATATAAAATAATGTCACTGCACTGAAAAGTGCAATTAAGGGCTTTCTGAAACAAATGAATCAGACTAGAACTTTCTACGTGCAGGTGGAGCTGACTGGCTGGCGTCTATGAACAGAAGCCCTCTGCCAGTAACTTCACAAGCGGGAATTGAGAGTTTGAGCACTTTCTCCACGTGTGCGTATCCCGCGTGTGGCTGTGGAAGAGGGGTTACTCACTACTGGGCGCAGTCAATCAGCTGGTACTCGTTGGAGCGCTCATAGCAGGCACGCACTCCTTCATCCTCCCACAGAGCCTTGGCATGCTCATAGAACTCCTGAGAGCAAACACAAGAAAGGCCAGGGATGAGCATGTGCCTGGGCAGGAGCACGACCCCTCCAACCCTCCGACTCAGGCACCACCAGGCGCCCTGTGACCAGCATGGGGTGGGGTTCCCGGTGGCGAGCCAAATTAATGACTCTCTGCTCACAAGAACTTTCATTCAATTTGTTAAACGTAATTAAAAGCCAAAGTAATTAATTCCTGCTGTCCTCTTATTGTGAATTAACTGGTCCTGGGTAGTGTTCCTCCTATGTTATTTTTTGGGGGGGCGAGAGGGGGAACACAGGGCAGAGTAAACTACTGAATCATTTTGTTTCCTCACACAATTGCCTTTACGGGAAAGATATACATTAATCTGAAGTAGGAGAATATGCCAAGGAATGATTCAGTGTTGTGAAAACAAGATATTTCATTTGTAAGATGTGCTGGGATGAAATTTCCCTTCCAGGAAAATTTGAATTTTACCCCAAAAATATGATGGTTAGGAATTGCTGGCAAAGCTGGCCTTCTTGGTGCCCATCCCTCAGGGAGGGTGGTGATAGGGAGAAAAAAAGGGAGCAAATGACCTCTGGGTTGTTCTGAACTGCAGTGGGGGTTACGATGCCCATTTCATTTGAACATAGAAACGTTTTTAATGATTTGGGGGCGATCTTCCCTTAACAAGGAAAGAGGTTTTTTTCTTCGATGTGAATTCAGCAAGAGAAGGATTAAAAGTAGGAAGAGACACAGTCTAGCTATCAGCACAACTAATAAAAGGTTACTGTTCTGGTGCATTTTCAACAGGCTGCCATTTCTTCTTCTATTAGAAATAGGCATTATATATATTGTGCTGACTGCTTGAATTTTTTTTTCCAAGCAAATGCTGTTTTAAAAAAAAGCACCTAGCCCTACTTATTAATACTGCTTCCCTGCTAGTAGTAGTTTGCAGCCAAGCCCATTTAAAATACACAAACACAAATTCCCAGGAAAGCCTGACAAAAGGCAACAATAAGTCATTGTTTTAACTGTAGACAAGTCCTTTCCTTCTGGGCCTTATAAACTTGCGCATCTTTCCATCTTGTTTCCCCGTTTTCCTCTCATAAACTACTCCTCCCCTACAAACAAGGGTGGGGGGGGTCAAAAGGTATATGCTTGGGCCTGGGCAGTTTTGTGTTACCTAAAAATAGTCCTTTATGAAACAGAGGATTTTTGTAAACAGCGTCCTGCACACCAACCAGGGTGCACAGAAGAAAATCTCCAAGTTATAATTTAGGTGAAAGTCCTTTCTTTTCCTTTTTTTTGCAAAAAAAGGGAAAAAAATGAGAAAGGGTTTCATTTGCCCAATGCCAAGGACTGATTTTTGGGAAAAACAAGACAAAAAAACCTTAATAAAGGTCAACTAGCAAATTGTTTAAAATGAGAAAACTCAGGGCTGGCACTTCGCTTCTGCATTCTTTGGTATCTTGGGATACTTTCCTCTAACTGGACAATTCGCATTTGTGTGCCATGTTTAACATACAGCTTTGCTTGTCACAAGTCGTGTACAAGGGCATGATTAAGGCTGTGACACAACTCCTGACACTTTCCCGCATGAAAATTTACGATCTAATCAGGTTGAAGATTAAAGTGTGTTTACTTGTGGGGATGGGCGAGGCAAGATTTACAAGGGGTGATGGAATTCTGCTCACCTATTTTGAGCAAAAGCTCTAATGATCTGATTATTAGGGTTTTGTTTTGTTTGTTTGAACATTAAGGATCCTAAGGGAATTCACTTTTTCCTAAGAATCAGGATTGCTGAAACGAGTTTTGCCCGAAGTGTGTGGCTTTGGCACAGGTGTGCCTGGGGGTTGTGTGTCACCCATGTTCCTGTGCCACATACAGGTGACTCGCCAACAGAGCTCACCACCCGTGCCGCCCAGCGTGCCGGGGAGGGGGTTAAAGGGACAATCCAGGAGCTGAGCTTACAGGAGGGAAGTCAAAGTCAGGCACGTTCATCACGCTCAGAATGTAGTCCACTCTGAACTGGTTCTCAGGGTTGGCCAGCTCCACGGGGGGCACCAGGTTGCTCATGGCGGCCACGATGGTCTGAAAACAATTTAGCAAAGAGGTCAGGGGGACAGCAATGTCTGAAAGGGAGGCGAAGAGAAAAGAGAAAGGACCCAGACACGTACTTCGATCGCCTCTTTCAGGTTGTTTTTGATGTCCTGAACTTTGGTTGCCTTCTCACTACGGTGGGATTGAAAAGAGAAAGAGATCATATTGCATCACATTGATGAGCAGGGCCTCTTTAGACAAGATATTCCAACTAAAAGCATAGTATTCTGTTCTTGTAAGAGCCATGGCTTCCAATCTGTCCAGATTGGAGGTTCCTGAATAAAGGATGGTTTCAAATTATCACTCCCAAAGGTGTGTCCTGAGGACATGCCCGATTGGGGCAGATTAGCAAACTGGCATCAAGATAATGATCAAGTCTACTGTACCAGAAGTCCGGCCTGGCTCATTGACCGTTTCAGATGGGCTCCATTTTGTGAAGCTCCCACTGCACAGCAACACTCCTACAAGGTTCCTATTGGCCCTTTACAACACCCCTGTGTGTGTGTGTGTGTGTGGTATATATATTGGGGCTGGGGGAGGCTGATAGGTCAATCACATATTGGGGAGGAGAAAAGGTTTCATGGTTCCACTTGGGGCTTACTCCATCACTGGATTAGTACAGGGAACCAGTGAATGCAGATGAGGATACTATGAATTTTAAGAATTTGGGGACATTTTTAAGTCACCATGTCAGTCACCAGCCAGCAGCAATGATGTTTTTCAGTGACATTAATATAGGTTGATCCTTTGATATGAATAGGGATAATGTAAGATTCTGTCCCCAGAAGTCTTCATGACCTGGGACTTGTGTGCTGGGGGTGGGGGGTGGCAAGAGGAGGGGTACCTGTTAGGAGAAGTTAAAGGTTTAGCAGCCTTTTTAATTGCGATTTGAACTTAAGTCATATAGGACATGTGGGATGATCTTTATTCAGAGTCACTGGGGCTGTAAGTAAAGGCCACACCCTTTGGCTCGGGGGGGGGGGGGGGGGGGCGGGGGGTGTCAGGAAGGGACCCTGATGGAATGTGTCAAAGTGCAGCAGGTGTCTTCAGCGCTGTCATTTGAGACAGGACCCAAGCAGATTCAAGAGTCTGTGTCTTCAAGGAATAAAAAGGACCTCTGCCTTGGGGTATAAATCTTATCACACCTATTGCCTCAACCTTGTGGTTTTGGGTGGGGGGGAAGGGAACCCGAATGCAGGACACACCTACAGTGCATTAGAGCCGCACAGCGGGACTTGATATTACCGTCACGTGGCAGGAGGGTGCCACCCCTCAGAGGGAACTAAGGCTGAGGAAAAGTGAGTCACAGAAGCAGAAGGGACAGGGCCTCCTCTTTTTCTTGCTGTGTAGGACTTTTAAAAAGAAGCTCAAGATTCGTATCTGTGAAGCTTTCACTTGGTGGATTCACCAGGAGTCCTGGAAAGGGGGGAGAATCAGGCTTGTGACCACCCAGGAGAAGAGGAAACACAAGGGGGGGGTTGGTTAACAGCTCCTGCAGGCTGCAGGGTGATTAGTAGTAGAGCAGGGTGCAAGGGGTGGAGGGTAGAGGGGAGGTGCAGGGGGTCGTGTGCTCACCTGCCAACAGCCCTGCCCCCCCATCCTGGCCTTGGGCCTTCTAAGGAATAGCTAACATTTCCTGTTTCAATCCTATCAAAATAACGATCTGCATATTGATCTGAGGGGTGAGCCCAGATTTCGGATTTCATTTCACCCCTTCTCCAGAGTCAGCCCTCTTTCTCCCTTAAACTGGCCTCTGAGAAACTGCTTTTGATATCGAAGAGGCTGGTTTAGGAGTGTTCTCATCAGTGGGGGGAGGGTATGTTGTGGGGTGGGGGTAAAATATGGTCCCAGGAACACGCCCCCCCCATCACACCCACTTAAAAATGCTGAAGTCAGGAGAGCTTGAGGAGCAGACATGGCAGCGAGAGGCATCCTGCAAACAGTCCTGCAAACCGGGAGTGTGGGCATTCATGCCTCGATGGGAGGCTGGGCTCTGGCCCCCTCCTCTTAATGCAACCTCCCTACGCTGTCCTGACCCTCCTGTGGGGCTTTTCTGCTCTCCACATGCACCACTGAAGCTCATTTCTGAAATTAGGAACCCTGTGCAGACCCAGTGCTACTAGGGTCAAAATCAGTTATTTAGACATGAGAAATTTCTAAAGGATGTGTGTTTGCCCCTAAAGTTCACTTATGGACTCAAATTTACCTAAAATCCCACGGGACAGATCCATTCCCATTCATTAAAAACAGGCTCCATTTGCATGGTAATGAGAGCCATTAACCTTCGCTTTCAACGTCCCAGAGTAGTTAAAATTAGAGATGTCCGGGTATTAAATACCCAAATGTACATACAGCAAGAGGAAAGTACTTCCAGAAACTAGGTTCTTTCATTCAGTTTGATATTTTGGTCTAAGTAGTAGTATGATAATTGGAAAACTTCCAGTCTTAAATACGGATATTTTGAGAACGTGTTCAGTATTCATCTACGTATGTGAATAGGTGTGGGAGTATATCAAGTATAAAACAGCTAAAATAGAAATCTAAAATCTAATTCGGGTGTGTAATACTAAAACATAAAATTCTTCCATTGAAGCAATTACTATGTAGATGGAGATATTATACTGGGGCTGGCAGGTTTATCATCATTTTTACTATCACTTAATGAATTTAACGTTGATTGTGAAAATCAGAGAAAAATCCCTCAGAGGTCTCTAAAACTACTTACAAAGCCAAATTATGTATCCATGACCAAGTCTGGATGGACTAAAATATCAGGACTGAGGCTGAAGTGCTTTTAGCACATTGCTCCCCCCTCCCCCCATATGTATATAAAGCCTGTTGTCAGGGTTTGAATTTTAAGAGCCCGTCCCCTCCCCCTCGTCAGCTGCCTAAGGGGTAGGGGGGAGGCTAGGTCGTCCTAAGAGTCTCTTTTCCGTCCTATAATACCTTATCATTGTGCTTTTGTGGGAAAGGACAGACAAAAGAAGACAGCAGACAGACGCAGGATACAGGGATTGCTGAGACATGCAGAGAATTTTTATTTATCACGTATGTTAATTCTTATATTTACTTGCAGAACAGAGTCACAGATAGAAGTGCAGGCAAGGTATTAGTAGGGTGCAAGGGTCTAGTACACAGTAGGTGGTTCAGTTAAGGGCTTGTCAGGTAGTTCTCAAACGCCAACTTTTGGTACAGTAAACGGTCACTTTTACGTAGATGCCTTTGGATTGCTGTTACACTAAGTTTTTGCCAATGAAGGATTTCATGTCATGTATTTTTTTGTGTGTGGGGTTTTTGTAAATTGTTTTTTTTTTTGAAAATTTTTTTGGTTTTCGGTTATCTTTAGAGGTTAGGTGGTAGGGCCCCCTCCCCCTCCCCCCCACAACAGAATAGTATTCTTATTAGAAGTTCCTAAGACCAGGCAATTCCAGCATGCAAAGTGTGATAGGACATAGCCAGGAAGATGAGAAACTGTAGCCATCATCTAGGGATAATATATTCTAAAAGAAACAGATGAACAAACATGTGTAAGTTACTTTGTCCCAGGATCCTTTGCCCCGCCCCACCCTGGCCTCAGAAGCTATTTCTTTGAGATACCCTAGGCTAGGTCAATTGGCTCTGCGTGTTCTCATGAGAAATAGCTGCTTCATCACTGCATGCTGAATGTGCAAGCAGACCTGCAATGGTTACCTGGCATGCGTGTGCGTGTCGGCATGTGATGGGAGTGGGGATGGAGAACTGAAGAAACACAAAAAAATTGACAATGAATGGAGAAAAAAAAAAGCGGATGCCATCGTGAATTTCCTATCCACCAGCTAACACAAAATGCCTCCAATTAAAAAAGTACTTGAAAATCTTGAAGAGATCGGAGACTTTTCGAGATCATTCTTAACAATGACCTCCTGCGAGGTGCCGAGGCACTTTTTTTCCTCCCCAAATTACAGACAGTGCAGCACCACGTATTTTAATAGGAGAGAAAGATTTTTGTCTTCACCCCCCTCAAAGGTCTGAAATTTTAAAATCAGACCAAGCACTGGGTGGAGGGAATTTAGTAGATAGTTTTTAAAAACAAGTAGCCAATTTGAATGGACAGCTGGGGTAGGGGTGGGGAGTGGGGAAACAAACCATACGGAAAAACATCAATTCTCGAAATCTTAAACTGATCAGCTAAAGCTGAAATGAAATCTATAATTTGTCCCCAGCTGGATTTAATTATACTTAAAGGCTCCCCCCCCCAATTACGTTCTGCGCTTCCCTCGCTCTGCAATGTTAAGAGACTGTTCATGTGTCATGTGCGAACGTGGACCATGATGGCTGATGGCCCTGACATGAGTTCTGCTTCCTCCCCGGGTCTCGGGTTTCCCAGTGTGATCTTCGTGTGTGTGTGTCTGTTAAAAAAGTTTTTCTGTTTTTGAATGTGCCTACCCATCGCTGTTGCTCCTTGCAGCTTGCGGGTCCTCTTCGCCGCCCCTTTTAAAGAGAGATTGAAAGCTCGCCTCATCTGCAAGGCGCCGCGATTTCCCAAAAACCCCACACAGCCTCTCTACATTCCTAAACAAATGTCCGCCATCCTCCCGGGTCAATCCTGGTCGCCTTCCTGGCTAAGCTGGAATGTCTCCTGAGACTGCGGCCGTGGAGGGAAGAATGCCACACCTCCGCCACCCTATTAGCCGAGCCCTCTGGAGACTCTCTGGTCGGGTATACAGAAGGGACGGATAATTATTTTCTTGTGCTTTCCCTAAATGTACACGCATCAGGGAGATAAAGCAGTGATTTATCTCACAATTCTTTTGAGAATACAGCAGCTCGTAAGGCTTATTTCTCCCAGATCTCAATCTCTCCCATGTTGTATCTGAACACACAAAGGCACAGACATGCCTGATTTTTGCCCATGATTTCCTGGTGCAGTATTAATTTCCTCCCTTCTTGTAGTCGGGGTAACTACCTCTAAAGTGTTTTTATTTATATAATTGTTCCCGATAAATTGTCATCAATTAAAATTGTGTCTGCACCGTGAGGCAGCAAAAAAAAAAAAAAAGAAAAAAAAGAAAAAGAAAAAACTGGAAGAACAAAATCCACTACCACCACCATAAAAAAATAAAAACCAAAAGCCCCAAAACCCTACTCAAAACCTAATCTTCATAAATGGTAGGAATTCCTCCTTGAAGGTGGGAAGGGCAGCGCAGCTAAGCGTTCTACATGGGTTTTTTTTTAAAATTGATTAGCTTATTAGCTCAACCAATGTTAATGGCACCTTCCCCCACCACCCCAACATGAGGAAGAGTTAGCTTTGAGTTAGGAAAATCCACACTTGACCTCTGTATTTCTCAAGGTCAGATTAATATTACACTTTACTCTCAAAATGTAACCGGCCCGGCAGTGTGCGGATAGTGAAGGCAAATTTAATAGCTCAGCCCAGCCCTGACAAAGCGCACATTCACGGGAGTGAGGAGGGAAAGGCCCCGCGCCACGCAGAACACCCCGAGTGGATGGATGTCACCATTATTTCACAGGGAATCCCTAGTGAAGAAGGAAACCGCTTTTGTTGCAATACCGCAGTGAGGAAAAAGAAAAGAGGAGGCTCATTTGAAGGAGACAAAAATAAAGTTTCTAGACTCACACGAAGAATCCCCCTGTATGTCACTTCCACGGGCTAAATTTAACATCCTGAGAGATTACCTATGGCTTCCTCTACCAGGCAGGCAGACTGGGAATGTTGCTTCCTCTTTTTAAAAAGAAAATAGAAAAGAGAAGTTCTGGTTTAAATGCCTCGTGTGTGTTACAGACCGGTTCGTCAAGGGAGAACCCTTTCTCTAAAAATTAAAAAGAACCGTAGGGCAGCCTGGGGAGTGAGGAAGCCTTAAGTTATGGCAAGGATGTCCTACCTTCTGCTGGACTCAAGAAGGTAAACAGCGGCGGCTGCGTCCTTTTAAAAATGCTAGCCATGTCCAGTTTTAATCAAAATATTTATCTAGAGGGTACATGGTCAAATTATTTTTGCTTAACTAGCCTCGTGAAGAAGCACTCCCCGGCAAGTTGCGGGAGTGGGGGGGGGAATAATTATACAAGATTTATCTTTAAATTACAAATTCACATAACTAAAAGTCAGTTTTGGGCTTTTTGTTTATCAACTGCTGGCAATCTCTGGGAATAGGGCTTTATTGAAGGGTGTGTCAGGAATTAAGAATCTCAGAATTGCTTTGTGACAAGTGAGAGTGAGCCAGCTCTATTAGTGACCTGCATGTGCATATTGATAACACATCGGGTCACTCCTAAAATTGGTAAAGTAGCCCATCCTTGCGAATCCATGCTTAAAGCATAGAAATCATCCTAAACTAAAACACCCAGTTGTATGTGTGACATCATCCTCAGCCCCGATTAGCTGACCTAAGAAAATTCTAGAATGTTCCATTAAGGGCTGCCTTTAAGTGCAGTCCTTTTACCTCTGAAAGGTAATAAAATCCATCATTGTGTCCTCAGTGCCTGGTGCGTAGAAGGCATCCGTACGTAAAGTACGTAAATGGCATTTTATTTGGGGGGGGCAGAGGGGGTGCCTTTGGTGCATAACAAACTATGCAGCCTTGACTCAATGTCCCCTTTCGAAACCAAAGGGGATGCAACGGAGAGACAACTTTTAAACTGAACCCAGGTTTAGGGAAGGGATTAGGACTGCTAACCAGCTAGTAATTCCAAACTAGTGCCTTCAGGTGTTTGCAGTCTGGTGCAGTGAATGGCTGTCACCCCAGTGAAAGCAGAAGATGAGAGATTTAGTGTCTTCTGTTTCCCCAGGGGGGAGGAGGGGGTGTCCATTTGGGGTCTGGAAAGAAAAGCCAGTGCCCTGATGATATTGAAAGCTCCCCTCCGTTTGCATTCTTCATGGCAAACAGGACCCTACATTTCTCTTAGGTCCCTCTCTCTTAATCTTTGTTCTCAATGCGGTATTGTCACCCTGTCCCTATACCAGGATGCCTGCAAGGACTTTTCAAAGGCAAAAATGCCCCTTGACCCGGCCGGCCGGAAGTACCTAACTCCCAATCTCCATCACTTACATGTCTCCTTTTTCTTTCTTTAGGCAAGACTATGGATTTTTTTTTAAAGAAAGGGAAACAATGATTTGCCCATAATATTAATTCCAAAGGGGGCTGGTGGGGGAACAATTATTAACAGGGACTACTTGCCTCTTCTAACTTTGTTTTAGGTGAGGACATTGAGACAGTGTTTTTCTCTAATAACTTAAAACATCCTGCATTGGTGCACTGCGCTGACATCTACTGTGATGCGGGGGTGGGGGTGGGGGGGGCTTCTCTGCAGTGGCCAGGGTGCCCGCAAAGGGGGTGGCCTCGGCAGGTGTCAGCCATGTTGAAGACCCACTGCACCAAAATCTGTGGGCAGGCCTGCGGCAGACCTGTCACAGGGCCAGCCAGGTGCTGTTTTCCTGGGGTGGGGTGTGGGGTGGGGGTGTTTTCCTAAGAACCCTGGTGCTTTATTATTACTGTTATTATTTATTGCTGCACCAAAGATTAAAAGGAGGGGGGGGAATCCCCAAAGAGCTCTTCCCTGGATTTTCTAACATGTAGGCTGAAAAAAATCAAGTGAAAATTGGCTGCCCAGCCCCCAAAATCTACCTAAACTTCCTAAAGGTTAGTATCAAATGTGTTAATCCTGCTGTGCCCTTGCCCAGAGTTGACACTTACTCTCCATTAAACCCATTAACATGCAGGATCCTCATCTGCTTCACTATGGTGCTTTTACCAGATTCTCCGGCACCTAGAAAATGAAAGTAAGTCTCAGGTTATGAAGGAGGCATTTTACACACTTCGGGCAGGGAAGAGGACTGCCGTCTTTTCCATAGGAGCAGCACGCAGAAAAACAAACAAAATAACAAGACTTGCAATTTTCCTGGACATTTCGACGCAGAGAAAAATGAAACACATGCGCAACGCTGTCTACCTGCAGTATTCACCATCACCGTTACCGAGGATTCAAAAGGGATTGCTGTTTTCGGGATTTTTCTGTCCCCCCCCCTTTGGGTTGTTTTAAAATTTGTGGGGTGGGGAAGCCAAGGGGCAAAGGGAAGGAATGACGCAGTTTTGTCATATGGGGGGGGAGAGAAAATTGAAGTTAAAACTGAAACTGAATTCTTGAAATAGGAGCATTCACTTGGTGAAACGCACACATCACTGTAGGCGGCCACAGAATTCACTGTTTGTTGGAGGTTTCATGGTTAAAGCCCCCAGGACTCACAAACAATGCCCAGACACCGCAGTCTCCTTCAGCTTTGCACGGACGCAGCATTTCCCTCCCGCAAATTCTCACAATGCAGCTTCTTTGCGGGCAGCTTTCTCCAGCCTTGGGCTACTCAAGAAATCAACCCCAACCCTCAAGGTTACGAGGATCCTCCCTCCCTCCCTCCCCGCCAAAGGTATTATCCTAAAGATAAATTCTCTCTGGATACAAGCACCACCATGTTGCAGGGTGGGGGGTGGGGTGGGGGGGTAGCTGGGGGAGTGGGGGGGGAGTGGAAGCCCATCAATTGTATGTCATCTTTCTCGAAAAACACACTTTAATATCAAACGTAGTGCTTGAGAACAACCATATTCACATACAGCAACAACTGTAGAAAGTCTTAAAAGGACACGACTTAAATCATGAGGAAAAATATTCCTGGGAGCTACTGAATTTTCAGAACCCTCAAGCCCTTCTCTGGAAGTCAGAAGGAGCACATGCCTCCATTTGAAGTCACCTTTCATTTGTAAACATATATTTTATGGGGAAAAAAAAAGGCACATTTCCACCCAGCTAGAAGGAGGATTGCTATTTTTTTTCTTTTTTGCAAATGTACACTCTCCTCAACAAATACTCTTTGTGTGAAAAATTTTTTGCCCTCCTCCCACACAATCCTGTTTGGGTTTTTTAATTTTTTTAATTTTTTTCCACTTTTCATTTTATTAATTGCTTTTGTTTTACTGCCCAGAGAGCGAAGCATTCCTCCTTCTCTTGCCTTTTCACAAGGCTGTAATCAATATCTGTAAAAGTTAAAATTAGTTTCCATAGAAACATTGATTTCAAAGCAAACACTGTATCTTAATGAGACCAACTCTAGTAAGTCAAAATATTATTCTCTAATAATGCAGAGAATACAGGACATTAATCAGGATCTGCAAATTCTTTTGTCAGAAGTGTTAACGTGTGTAACACCTCTCTCTCACAGACGCAAACAGGTCTGTGCCTCAGTTTCCACATTTATGAAATTAGAGGATTGGGCTGAAAAATTACTGCAGGGGCTTTAGTGGTGCTGTAATTTACTCAATTTCATGTGATTAATAAGATGCATTTACAAAGAGGATCTGGGGTATCATTAAGGTTTCCTCTGGGGGGGGCATTATTTGGTGAGAACTACCATTTAAAAATGCAAAATGTGTGGCACTGAGTTGGGCTGCAGACCCTTATGCCAGGGGCTATCAATAAATCATGATAAAATGTAGCCATAAAAGCTAGGACACCTGGGGAAAATTAGCCCACAGGGATGCAAGGTGTGTTTCAGAGTAACAGTCTCAAATTAAGCGGAGACTTTGTGATCTCTGAGCAAAGGTGTCAGAAATCTAAGGCACCTTTAGTATCACATTTGTTTCAAATTAGTATTCAGGTAGCCAGATGGCATTCCTAGGAAAGATTCTAGACTTTTCCAGGCTTCTACTTTGAAATCAAGTTATATACACATTAATATTCACATAGCATAATTCTACCTTTAGCAGTTTTAGGCAAGACTTCAACACAGGTATCATTTAATTTTTGAAATGGCAAATGCATAAACACCAGACTTATTACCACTTAATTTTCAGCTTTATAGAAATCTGGACCCAGGAGAACAAAGGGGTGACCCATCCAAAAAAAAAAAAAAAAAAAAAAAAAGCAAACCAAACACCACCAACAAAGAAAAACCAACCTTTTTACATTTTTATTCTTTATATTCAAGCTGTTTTGTTGAAATGTGACCATGAACTAGGCTTTAACCTAGCAAATTCACAAATTAACTCAGATAGCCAAATTACTAAGGAAGTGGACGTGGCTGGAACGGACGGGACGTGGCGGGACGGGACATTGCGGGACGGGACGTGGCGAGACGGGGCGGGACGGGACAGGGCGGGATGGGGACGGGGCGGGAAGGGACGGGACGGGATGAGGCGGGGATGGACGGGACGAGGCGGCACGGGACGTGGCGGGGCGGACGTGGCTGGAAGGGACGGGACATGACGGGACGTGGCGGGAAGGAACGTGGCAGGAAGGGAAGGGGCGGGACGGGAAGGGACGTAGTGGGACGTGACGTGGTGGTACGGTACGTGGCGGGACGTTAGGTGGTAGAATGGGACGTGGCGGGAAGGGACGGGACGTGGCGGGATGTGGCGGGAAGGGACGGGACATGACGGGACGTGGCGGGACGGGACGTGGCCGGACTGGACGGGACATGACGGGACGTGGCGGGACGGGACGGGGTGGGATGGGGACGGACGGGACGGGACGTGGCGGGAATGGACGGGACGTGGCGGGACGGGACGTTGCTGGAAGGAAACGGGCGGGAAGGGACGGGACGGGATGAGGCGGGAATGGACGGGACGAGGCGGGACGGGACGTGGCGGGACGGGACGTGGCGGGAAGGGACGGGACATGACGGGACGTGGCGGGACGGGACGTGGCGGGATTGGACGGGACGTGGCGGGACGGGACGTGGTGGTACGGGACGTGGCAGGAAGGGACGGGACATGACGGGACTTGGCGGGACGGGACGTGGCGGCACGGGTCGGGATGGGGAGGGACGGGACGGGGCGTGGCAGGAATGGACGGGACGTGGCGGGACGTGACGTGGCAGTATGGGACGTGGCGGGAAGGGACGGGACATTACGGGACATGGCGGGACTGGACGTGGCAGGAAGGGACGGGGGGTGACGGGATGTTGCGGGACGGGACGTGGCGGGAAAGAACGGGACGTGGCGGGGATGAACGGGACGTGGCGGGACGGGACTTTGCGGGACGGGAAGGGGCGGGACGGGGAGGGACGGGACAGGGCGTGATGGGGACGGACGGGACGGGACGTGGCGGAATGGACGGGACGTGGCGGGACGGGAAGTGGCTGGAAGGGACGGGGCGGAACGGGACGTGGCGGGACGGGACGCGGCGAACGGGGCGGGATGGGGAGGGACGGGACGGGATGAGGCGGGACGGGATGGGACGTTGCGGGACGGGACGTGGCGGGGCGGGGCGGGACGGGAAGGGACGGGACGGGACGTCGCGGGAATGGATAGGACGTGGCGGGACGGGACATGGCGGGACGGGGCGGGATGCGGTGGGACGGGACGGGACGTGGCGGGAATGGACAGGACTTGGTGGGACGTGACGTGGCGTTACGGGACGTGGCGGAAAGGCACGGGACATGACTAGACGTGGCGGGACGGGACGTGGCAGGAAGGGACGGGGCGGGAAAGGACGTGGCGGGACGGGACGTGGCTGGACGGGACGTGGCAGGAATGGAAGGGACGTGGTGGGACGGGACGTGGCGGGACGGGGCGAGATGGTGAGGGATGGGACAGGACGTGGCGGGAATGGACGGGATGTGGCGAGACGTGACGTGGAGGTACGGGACGTGGTGGGAAGGGACACGAGTTGACGGGACGTGGCGGGAATGGACGGGACGTGGCGGGACGGGGCGAGATGGTGAGGGATGGGACAGGACGTGGCGGGAATGGACGGGATGTGGCGAGACGTGACGTGGAGGTACGGGACGTGGTGGGAAGGGACACGAGTTGACGGGACGTGGCGGGAATGGACGGGACGTGGCGGGACGGGAAGTTGCCTGAGGGACGGGTTGGGGCGGGAAGGCACGGGACCGGATGAGGCAGCAATGGACGGGATGAGGCGGGACGGGACGTGGCGGGACGGCATGTGGCGGGACGGGGCGGGCCGGGAAGGCGCGGGATGGGGACGGACGGGACGGGATGAGGCGCGAAGGGAAGGGACGTTGCGGGACGGGACGTGGCGGGACGGGACGTGGCGGGACGGGGCGGGATGGGGAGGGACGGGACATGACGGGACGTGGCAGGACGGGACGTGGTGGGAAGGGACGGGAAGTGGCGGGACGTGACGTGTCGGTACGGGACGTGGCGGGATGGGACGGGACATGACGGGATGTGGCGGGAATGGACGGGACGTGGCGGGACGGGACATGGCGGGACAGGACGTGGGCGAAGGGACGGGACATGACGGGACGTGGTGGGACGGGACATGGCGGGACGGGGCGGGATGGGGAGGGTCTGGACGGGCCGTGGCGGGACGGGACGTGGCTGGAATGGACGGGACGTGGCAGGACGGCCCGTGCGGGACGGGACGTGGCGGGAATGGACGGGAGGTGGCGGGACGGGACGTTGCGGGACGGGACGTGGCGAGACGGGGCGGGACGGGACAGGGCGGGATGGGGACGGGGCGGGAAGGGACGGGACGGGATGAGGCGGGAATGGACGGGACGTGGCGGGGCGGACGTGGCTGGAAGGGAGGGGACATGACGGGACGTGGCGGGAAGGAATGTGGCAGGAAGGGAAGGGGCGGGACGGGACGGGACTTAGTGGGACGTGACGTGGTGGTACGGGACGTGGCGGGACGTGAGGTGGTAGAATGGGACGTGGCGGGAAGGGACGGGACGTGGCGGGACGTGGCGGGAAGGGACGGGACGTGGCGGGACGTGACGTAGCATTACGGGACGTGGCGGAAGGGTCGGGACATGACGGGACGTGGCGGGATGGGACATTGCGGGACGGGGCGGGATGGGGAGGGACGGGAAGGGACGTGGCGGGAATGGACGGGACGTGGCGGGACGGGACGTTGCTGGACGGGACGTGTCGGGACGGGGCGGGACGGGACGGGGCGGGATGGGGACGGACGGGACGGGACGTGGCGGG